ATGTATGTATGTATATATTCGTGTATTTATTATATATATATATATGTGTGTGTGTGTGTGTGTATGTGTGTGTGTGTGTGTGTGTGCATGTATGTGTGAGCGTGTGTGTGAGAGAGAGCGTACGTGTTTTGTGTGTGTGTGAGAGAGAGTGGGTGTGTATGTGCGTGTGTGTGTGTGTATGTACGTATCTATCATGTTTGTATGTATACTTATAAATACAAGTATGTATATACCCATATGTACCAAACACATGCATACAAAGCCTGCATACATCCACACATACTTCTTCCAACAGCTGCATCATAATATGAATCTCGTGTTCAACATCGCAATAGTGCTTAGTTCATCTGCTCGTAAACCGATGTTTCCGCCCATGTGCATACACCTGTCTACATATATGCAAACATACCCACACATGCACACATCCTAGACATAAGCCTACATACACATACCTGCATCCCCACAACCCTACACACACGTCTCTATCAACGCACCTTTTCCAACAGCAGCACCAACATGTTGACCTCATGTACAGCATCGCTCCAATGCTCATTCATTCTGCCCACATACAGTCGCATGGCTGCATTCTGCACGGCCAGTTCGTTTTTAGATACGTACTCGCAAAGTTGGTTTATGATTGGTCGAGACGCTGGTCGCCATAGCGACAAACCAGCCAATTCTTCGGTGCACATGTGGGCTTCGGGATCTTCTCTTAACAGGGCTGTGAAAAGTAGGAGTGTATAGAGTTTTAGGTTTTTTAAAGGTAATAAATGAGGCTCGATGCTCTGGATCTTACGATGTCTATATTTGGGATGTATATCATGTCCACCTACATGATTATCTACACAAGATATTCGTCGTGCCAATGGAGTGTACGCATTCTTGTCTTACATTTGGGCGTTTCGCGTTGTATGAAGGTGTGTGCATCTGCTGAGCGCCAGTTGACGAGCAGATAAACCATACGCACGCGAGCGTTCGATTGCTGTATTCAATTGCATAGGAGAGCTTCGAGGTTCAAAAGGGGCAAGGCTCTGAGCGGTGCCATTGGATTGAGAACCAAACACACGTGTAACATTTGACAATGACGATGAAATAAACGTAAGACCAAAACTATAGCAGCCCATTTACAGATTTGTGTGAGCAGTGGTATGTTCTAGCGAGCATATCCGATGATACACAAACGATTAAAAGTAAACCCATTGTTGCTATCTAAACATGTGTATGTGCGTGCATATTAAATTAATCTAACGATTGAAAGTTAACACATTGTTGCTATCTAAACATGTGTATGTGCGTGCATATTAAATTAATCTAACGATTGAAAGTTAACCCATTGTTGCTATCTAAATATGTGTATGTGCGTGCATATTAAATTAATCTATATCGACAGTCTCAAGCGCAAGCTTCAGCGCCTGGGCCCAAGTCCAACCTTTAACACCTCAAATTGAATCCTAACATGGCCTAAACCCCTAAATCTTAAACCCAGAACAACCCAAAAACCTTAAACCCAAGGACAGATCAAACACCAAACCTTAGAACATTATAATCTTCGCCACTAAACCACCCATAACTCCCCAACCTGAGACACCCAAGCCCTAGACCCTAAACCCTAAACACCATACCTAACGCTTCGTCGTACTTGTGATGCTCTATGCACACGACCAGTAGTCCACTGAACAGCTGCTCCTGGCTAAGAAAAATATGCCGGCCCCTAATCTTCTCCACATACATCGAATCCGTACTAGATCCTTTCCCTTGTGCCAAGTGCACCATTGATACGTTTTCTGGTACCGTTTGGATCTGCGATGAAGTGCCGAACTGAGTGGGGGGCACGTCGAGGCTATTGGCTGTTTCAGCGCCGTGTGGGTCGGACATAATGTTAAATCTGTGGAAGTCCATTGTATGAATGAAAAGCCAAATTGTTATGCAGCTGTTCACATACACAGTGGGGTGGATCAATGAAATGTTCCCATACACAGTGGAGTGTATAAATAAAAATATAATTCATTAATTGGACTCT